ATTTAATTAATATTTTTATTATTTATTTTAATTTTATTTTTAATAAATTTTTTTTAAAAAATTCATATTTAATATTTTTTTATGTTAACTTGTAAATTTCTTCCTACATATCTCATTTTATTAAAAATAAATATTGATATTCTTTTAGCAATATAAAATTAATTAAAAATTTTGAAAAAATCAATATTTTATTATTCAAAAAAATAAAATTTATAATAAAAAATATATTATTTCTTACCAAATCTCAAAAAAAATTTTAAAAATATCCATCCGTAGACACTAGTTTTAATTTTTTAATTTTTAATTAATATACTTATTGCCATGGCTTTATTTGTCACTGGTTGTTATTTTCAATTTTACTTTGTTTTATTTCTTAATTGCATTTATTAGTTTTGTGGGTTGATATTAAGCCCAAAATTGAGAATAGGCTTCAGTTTGGGCTTCACTGAAAATTAGATTCAAAGGTTACTTGGGTTTATGATCCAAACTCAGAAAAAGCATTGAAACTAGAATTCTAGATCAAACAACCTAAACAAGATTAAAAGCAATAATCAAGGATTAGAACTTACTAAACTACAAAACATTCTGGAAGCATGAAAAACATAAATAAAATAAAACAAAAAAAAGAAAAAGACCAGTTCAGCATGTGCTCCAGACATGAAAAATTTTCGTCTGACAATGGCTTCACAATGTTGAGGATAACAGGTGGCTTCATCCCTATATTTTTCTTAACTCATAAGGGGAGCCAAAAATTTGAAAAAGAATTCTAGTAGCAACCAATTTTAGAGAGCAGAAACCCAAAAATCCTAGCTTTTACCCTAGCCGCTTTTGAACAAAAATCCCTAGAAACCTTTGCAAAAAAAAAAATCCCTAAAGCTAAATCGCATGACCAAGAAAAACTCTAGCCGCATCATAATTAAAATCACATAAAATAGTAAAGAAAAACAAATAAAAGAAGAACCCAAAAAAGCCTTAGGATAAGTCAAACACTAAAATAGAGGAAAAGGGTTTCTTTTTATGCTTTTTGGAGTTAGGAAAGTGAGGTTTCAAGGGCTTTCGATTTTTATCTGGTCAGGAGAGAAGCGGCGTAGATCAGAGTAGGATTTGGGGTGAACGGAGGCTTAGGAATGTGTTTAGAGAGAGGGGAGAAAGTGCCGCCTGGTAGAAAGAGAAAATGAAAGAAGGATATGAAGAGAGATAAGGAAAGAAGGAATTTATACTTAGGGTTGTGGGTTGAAACAGTGTCGTTTGGGAAGAGTGAAGGGGAAGTGGATCTTAACCAAAAATGGCATAGTTTTGAGAGAAGAATGAGAGCTGCTATTAGACGGTGCATTTTGCAGAGAAGACTTGGTGGGCTGTAGCAAGCTTGAACTCCTTTCCGCAGGCCAATTTAGCCCAGTAAGGTAAAAGTCCTTTTCCCATTTTGTTTTGGATATGTTGGTTTGGTTTATTTTATATATGGCCCATTTTACTTAGTAATAAATGTATTTTGGTGATGTAGGTTTAATTAAATCATTTTAGGGAAATATCATAAAAATTTCATATGATATGTTAGTGTTAGGAGGTTAAAACAAATATAAAATATAAAAAATAGAAATAATAACAAAGATAGCAAAATAATAAAAATGTTTTAAGTATGTTTAGCTATAAAAAGAACATGGATGAAAATTTAGGGTTAATACTAGGTTTAGGTAACTAGATTATATACATGTATAAATAGAAAATAAATGTCAAAATATAAAATATATTCATGGTGATAGATTTGACCAGGGTAAAAATATAGAAAAGAAATAAATGTTTGGTAATAAATACAAATGAAGATTTAGGTAGAAAATAGAAAATACCTTGTTTTTTCAAAAATAGACCTATGTAAATGAAAATATATGATATAATATAGAATTATAAATATTAAAAATAGAGTGGTTGATTAGATTAATTCCAATGATGGAATTTCATCCTAAAAGGGAAAGAGTTGTTATTTTTGGGATGATTTTCCTAGGAACGGGATTTAATTAGGGTTTTCTCTAAAGTGTAGGTATATATTCTAATTTTGTATTCCGATATTCTAATTAACCCAAAAAACGACCTTGAAAGTCATAAGAGAAATAAATTCATATAAAGTTCTATCTAAATTAAAATCGATATAGTTATTTAATCAATTTAAACAATTACTGTAAATAAAAGATTAGTTGTTTATTCAAAAAATAGTTCAATAAAATAAAATAATATTGACCTATAATATTAATTAAAAATTACTAATTTAAATAAAATCTTTCTTTAAAATATATATAGTAAAAATAAATAAGGTATTTAATTGCATTAAACTATTATATATATAAATTATAAATCAATTAAATTATATTTATAAACGTGCTCATTTGGCATCATTCACGATTTTTATTTTGACATAGCATATAACACATATTTTGTTAATGGGATGAGAACTCCAATGATGGGATTTCCTCAAAGAAATTGTAGAGATGAGTTATTCAGAGGACATCCTTAGATGAGCAAAACTTCGAGACTTCAGCCAACCGTTGGGATGGTTTACGAATGATTTTTCGGTACAAGGTTTTCGCTTTCCATTTCTTAAAATTGATAAATCATGACTTCATTTCACAATTGCATGATACGCATCTTTAAAGCTGAATAATTAAACTTTGGTTTCAAGAATAATAATAATAAAATAAATAAACAAAGATTAGAGAAACATAGAAATAAATCAATGGTTTAGGCTATAATAGGATAACATATGATTAAATGATACTGCTCGTGGAATAGACGTCACAAGGGTGCTAATCCTTCCTTGTACGTAACCGTACTCTCGAATTCAACTCTAAAAATCTACAAACCAGTTTATTATTCTTTAGATGGATCTAAAATCAATTTAAGACTCCGTTGAATAGAACAAATTTAATAGGTGACCAATTGCACCTAAACAAAAAAGATTGGTGGCGACTCCTAACATATTTTTCTACGTCTAGTGGTTGGATTCTCGAACTTGCACATTACGACAGATATTATATTGAGCCAACAAATGAAAAAGATATTTAATACTTTTATATTACATCTATTATCTCGGATAAGAAGTGTGTGTTGGAAAAATGACCTGTTTTGTTCTCTAAATCATACTACACAAATATTAAAATGAAACTTATGGTATAGTAAATCAGAAGTTTCTAATGATTTTAAAATTTGGCATAACCGGTTGTGCCATCTTAAATTAATAATGATGTAAAAAATTATTGAAAGTTTACGTGATCATCCATTGAAAAATCAAAAGATTTTTCAATATGATGAATTCTCATGTATTGCTTGTTCTTAAGGCAAATTAATTATAAGGCCATCATCAATTAAAGTTGAGACTAAATCTCTTATATTTTTTAAACATATTCAGGGTGATGTATGTGGATTTACGCATCCGTCATGTGGACTACTTAGATATTTTATAATTTTAATTAATGCATTGACTAGATGGTCACATGTGTGTTTATTATCAACTTGCAATTTGGCATTTGCAACATCACTTGTCCAAATGATTCTTTTGCGAGCACATTTTCCTGATTACAAAATCAAGACCATTCATATTGACAATACTAGTGAATTTACATCTCAAGTTTTTAATAAATATTGCATATTAGTTAGAATAACTTTTGAACAACTTGTTGCTCATGTTCAACACAAAATGGTTTAGTAGAATCCTTTATTAAACACTTTCGACTGATTATAAAGCTATTGCTTATGAAAACTAAACTTATCATGTATACTTGAGGGGCATGTCATTTGCATGTAGCAACATTTGTACGCATCAAGTTAATGAGTTATCATAAATTCTTCCCCATACAATTAGTTTATGACAGTAATTAAATATTTTTTAAGTAAGAATTTTTAGATGTGTGTATATATCTCAATTGCTCCACCACAATGCACAAAGATGCATCCTCAAAAGAGGTTAAGAATATATGTTGTATATGAATCTTCATCTAAAATTAAATATCTAAAACCATTAACAGGAGATTTATTCACGGCAAAGCTTGCCTATAGTCATTTTAATGAAATAATTTTTTCAACATTAGGAAGAAAAAATAAGTAGTTGTAAAAAGAAATTTCTTAGAATGTATTATCATTATTTAGTTTTAATCGTCGCATAAATCAATTTGAATTTGAAGTTCGAAGGATAATTCATTTACAAAATATAGAAAATTAGTTGTTAGATGTATTTACTGATCTAAAGAGAATAATTAAATCTCATATACCAGTTGCAAATACTCTTATTAGAATTGGTGCGCTGGAAGTGTGAAAAATCAATAAACTTCAAAGATAAAATCTTTGAAAAAGAGAAAGACTGAATATACAAGATGGTCAGAAAGAGGAAACATAAACCTTAGAGGAGAGACTTGATATAATTGTTGAAATTCTAGAAGAAATTCAAATACATAAAATTATTAAAAATAAAAAAATCTCAATAAATTATATTATTATAAGTAAAGATAAAATCAGAACTTTATTTTGTGATTTACTATACCTTAATAAGTTTTTATTTGGTGATTTTTACTCAAATAAACTCTCTTATGTTGACGAAAAGATGATGCCAAATATGCTCTCATTTTTCAGTACACTTGGATCCATGGATGAATTGGACATCTAATTGTAGAGGGAAAGTGTTTGTACGCATAAAGGAGGAAAAAAGAAAGAGAAAAAGCAAGTTGTACACAACACTAGAGTTGGGGATAAAGTAACGAATTTCTTTTCGTCACAGCAACTACCAAAAGGGTAAGGCCCGTGCATGTGCCATGGCGTTGGGAATGACTCATCACCAAGGAGAAAAGCGTGGGCGTTTGTTATCCTTTTCAACAGCAATTACACGTGCACGTGCAAAAGTAAAAGTCACGACTTAATTTGGATCTCAGGGATTTGCTTTGACTTTTTTGAAGCCGTAGCTATGCCTCCGACTTGCGGGTCGGAATTGAATTTTCACAATTCATGTGCATGTACGAGAATATTGAAAATAATTTTCATAAATTGATATAACTAAAAGTCTAAAGCTTTCAGTAATACAATCAAATTTCAACAAGACAAGTATATTAAATTTCAACATAAAGCCTGCAAGTTGGATCAAAGAAATGCTAGTCATGCCACTATCATATTTACTACATGTAAGCAAGCAACTAATCGCACAAATGACAATTTGCCTTTTTCTTTAAAGCTCCAAGAGAGGCAAATTTCGTCTTGCGCCAAGGAACATAAGGGAATAGGTATTAAGAGTTATATCAACTCAAATATCAAGTTCCAATCACAAATAATAATTCCAAATTAGAAATACCACAGCTAAGTCCTACAGGAAGCAGCCGGAGTTACCACTGTGCCGGTGATGGTTGTTCCTCAGACGGATAAATCTTCTTCTGCGATACAAGGCGAATCGGAGTCTGGACAAGACCGACCTTCTCAGTTTATGGGCAGATCGTAACCTAAACCACATCACCCTCTTAACCCTAACCAAGGATCTCTTGATTCTCTCTGCCATGCTCCTCTTTCTGCAGAACTGGTAGCTCCTCAGGAACAGCTGTCTCTTCTCCATGATCACGTAGTTGTGTTCCATGTAGCCATATAACATGGGCTCGGTCCTGCTTATTGATGATACTGGATTTGCATCAACACTACTTAGAAGAGCCATTTAACCCAGGCAAAGTGCGAGAGACTAGAGCAGGATAGGATGGCAAGACTACGCTCTAAACCCTAAAGCCAAGAAATAAAGGAAGCAAAGCTTTTTCGATACTATCTATATCATATTAAGGGGAAGGCAGACGTAGACTGAATATGAGATTAGGTGGATCTCAAGTGAAGAAATTCGCTTGCGTAGCATTTGGTTTGCTTGCGAGCATAGCGCCGCCGCAGGAGGCAACTGTCATAGCGAGGGCAAAGGGCCAAACTTTTTTGGATTTTCCTATACAAACATTAACACATGGGCTCGGATGTTGTAAAATGGGCAATCACGTGCCTTGTGTTTTGTGTTTATCGTTCACCTCTTGTCTTGTCGTCTCTGTTCTTATCTCACCAAAGACTCTAGACGCAGAGACAAAGAGAGGGTTTTCGTTCTCAAATAACTTTTGACTTTCAGATCCATGACAAAAACTCGGACACAAAGTCGGCTATGACCTACTCTTTCTCGTAACATCAAAAGGCTAGGACAATAAATACATGTATGCAGTTTGCCCCAATTTATTAAAACTCCTCAGTACATCCACGCAAAGCACTTGACGTTTAGCCTGCGGGAAAGACTGTCGAAAAGCAAAGCTATACTTAGAAGTTTGATTAGGAATTCAGATTTAAGATAATCAAGCCAGGTGCAGCTAACTGTTATTCTAGCACCACATTCTGCTTGCACTTTGACAACTTAAGACCTCCCAACAGAGCTCACCACGATTGAGCTAACTTGCACAGCAAGAGCAAGACTAATTGGCAATAAACAATTTATTCTCAACTATGTAACCATCAAAAGAAGAAAAAGGAAAATCTTAACTATGCACAAACCAAACTTTAAATATTCACAAGAATACAGTCCAAGTACTAATTTTATCTGCAAGACATGTTGGAATGCCATAACGTATACAGAAGCAATAAACAAATGGTTCTTCAATACCTCAAGGTCATAAGTTCAGAATGAACATAACAAGCAACCTATCAGTATTGAATTGCTAGATTGCAACTGCACTAAATTAGATTGCTTGCTCAGCTATTGAATTGCTACCTGACCAAGGTGCTGAGCCAATTTCACTGGGAGGTGTAAGAGCAGTGGCTGCAATTTAGCAGCTGAGTCAAGCTAGAGCTAGAGGCCATGGACAACAGGATGACAATAAGGTGGCGTTTGGTACATTACAATGCA